AAAGCCATGGCTGAGTAAGAGCAACTAAGGAGCTCAGGTGTCTGTGAAGATCTGATATGTAACCCCATCTCTCCTCAGCAAGAGCCATGACATATGCAAACACATTTATATGTCAGGCGAACAACTGAAGTGAAGGCAAGATAAGGCCTGACCCGAAAAAGACCCCAGCACGACTCTGCCCGCACGGCTGCCAGCAGTGTGTGTTCAAATGTTTGTTTATGTGTGTGTGATATTTGTTGCTACGGTGTGAGAAATGTCACTATGGTGCTCGGACACCACCGCTGAGGTACAGAGGTGCGTGTGAGGTGCATGGCGGACAAGCTAGACCTAAACTGCCCCATAAAAAGACACAAACCTGTTGCAGCCATCGCAACAGCATGTTTTCAATAGAAATGACCACTCAGGAAGTCCATCTGTACAACACATTCTTCATGTAAATACCCTATGCCGGGAAGAGGTTCTAGCCCATAATCATATAATATATAGCACATTTAAAAGAGAATTCCATTAATACTTTTATTACTGCTGAATGGAATTGAGTAGACCAACAATGGATTGACCAACACAACTGCAATCCATATGCTAAGCCTGTAAATGTACAACGTGGGGATACAACTACACTACTGGACCATCATATCTTTATAACGTACCTCACTGCATACTTAAGGCTATGGCGTGTAAAACCATAATATAACAATGCATTTTCTTCTCTTTGTTCCTTAGGCGCCTTGCTGGGAATGATCTTTCTTTCATACCAAAAGAAGCATTTATGGGTCTCTATAATCTTAAGGTCTTGTAAGTATACTCATTATGTTAAATATTTCACACAGGCCTGTCACAATAACACATTTTTAAGTATATCTTGCTACAGATAAAAATACATCTACTTTATGCCACTGACACAAAAACTTTAGTACTAAGTATGTATAATTATTTTAGAGGTTAATGACCCTCAACAGCTCAAATCCTATCGTGACATCAAAAATAACAACATTTCCCCTTTATTTATTTATTTGGCAGGGACAATACAGTCAGATATAATTACAAACCCTAGCTTGCAGCTGATGTGATGCATACAGAGCGTAAATGTAAATGTTCCACTCCCCTCCATGGCTGAGCTTTTCTACACTAAAATACATATAAGACACAACCCAAAAAACATTATTTATTTATGTAATACAACAATGTAAATACAATTTACACATACATACTTACTGACCACCCAAAACTATTATTTATTGAAAGATATGTTGATATAGTAATGATTGGACTTAACTTCACAGCATCTTCTTGTAGAGTACATTTGCTAAGAGGATAAAGCGGTAAAACATGCGACCAGTGAAACAGCAGATTGTCATTGTTGTCTTTTTGTACCAAGGATGCTCCAGAACAACCAGCTCAGCTCGGTTCCAAATGGTGCCTTCCATGATCTGCACAATCTCCAGTCTCTGTAAGTTGCACATGCACACATACTCAGGTACAGTTTCACTATAATTACGGAGTGCTATTCGCCTGAGAGAAAGCACTGTCTGCACTACATACATTAATGCATGTATGGGTTTTTTGTGAGTAAAGAATTCCTTTACACTAAAGAGTAAAATGAGAGTTGTATTTGTGAAGATAAGCTATAAGTACTGGAACGTCTAAGGTCTCCCTCTCGCGGCTAAACTTATCTGATGGACCATTATGTGAAGGCCTATCCTACTCTTCTCCCTTTGCATGAACAGTGCTGCTTTTGTGAAGACAGACAAACTGACAGCTCCTTTAGGGACACTGACCAAACCCAATGGGCACCTATAACAAAAAAAAATCATCATTTTTTATTTGATTTGATGAGCCCAGTCCAGACTAATAATCGTTGCCATTTAAAACAATAAAAATGTGTATAATTTATTTCTCCAAAGTATGAACTCCAATATCTGCCAGAGGATTGGCTATGACCTTACAATTAAAGATCCCAGTGTAACTTTGGCAATTAGAGACTGAATCTTGGTCTTGATTATCATTTGATTAGTTTCACAGCTATTCTTACACCTGGTTATTCTTTTATTGACCAAACCCATTACAGAAGTTACAACTCAAATAGTTTAGTTTGTAACAGCAATGGACATGTGAATATCTTACATATGTCTCAAATGTCATTCAGAAGATTTCACAATCTTATGTTCATTAAATCTGAAGATGTTAATTACTGCAGCTGCCAGTGATAGAGCTTCATAAGTCCACAATAGTAAGTTTGTGTCCTTTAAAATTTGGCTATAGAGCATTTGTCTAGTTGAGTAGTGCTTATGTAGCCTGTTGGTTATGCTTTTGACCTGCACAGACACTTGATCTATAATGGCACCCTTAAATGGTTTTAGAGAAACTTGAGGGCTCTTTTGCAACAATGCCTGGTTTAACATATTAACGACAGTGTTTGGTTTACTGCTGTGTTCCTATGTGTGGTGCTGACCTCCTATTGCACCTTGCAGCCGTTTGGATGCTAACCACATCTCCAGTGTTCCCGCTGGGTGCTTCTCGGGCCTCAGGTCTCTTCGACACCTGTGGTTGGATGATAACTTCCTCACTGAGGTCCCTGTGGCTGCTCTTAGTGAGTTACCTGCTCTGCAAGCCATGACACTGGCCCTGAACCAAATCAGTTATGTCCCAGACCATGCATTTAGCAAGCTGAGCCGACTGGTGGTCCTGTAAGTATAAAAACTAATCCTAAGTAGCTTGTAGATACATGAATATGTACCATATCTGTGTGTTTGGTCACGCAATGTTGATCAATCTTGTTTTCAAGTTGACAAATAACAGTAATGTTCTATATTGATTTCATGAAAATAAACAAGACAAACCTATAATCAGCATCATTTCAACAACAACAACAAAAAAAAACACATTTCTTTCTCCACAGTCTGAGTTTGCTTTAACAACAGAGTATTGGCTCTAGACACTAATTTAAGAAAAACAAAACAAAAAACAAAACAAAAACAAGGATATTACTGAAAATTTGAAATGGTAAGATCTTAATTTTATTAAATTCAATGAATTGCCTGGTCCTATGTGTGTATGTGTGTGAGGGTCTAGAGATGGTTGCTAGGTGTTTTGGCCACATTAGGGTTGACTGTAGTGGCTCTCCCTGTCTGTCTGAATTAGCTCATTTATAACATGCAAAAACTGTGTTTGTTCATCTGTCTGTGTGAGAATGTGTGTGATGGCATTGAGCGCGGCAGCATTGAAGTCTCCTGTCATTTCTTTTGTCCAGTCAGCTTGAAGCTAATTTGCATGAAATTACCAAAAGAAAAAAAAGCTTCTTGAGGGGCCTTGGGGCCTTTTTCAGAAGACACACACACACAACCTTTGTCCGCTTCATTAGTCCATCAGCCTCTCTCTCTCCCTTCAGGCATCTCAACAACAATAGGATCATTTCCATGGGCACAAACTGCTTCCACGGGCTGCACAGTTTGGAGACGCTGTGAGTTTCTGTTTTTTGGGGAAGCACTCACAGGGCCAGGGTTGAGCTGGGGTCATGGTGAAGGGGCACCATTTCTGTTATGTTTTGTTTTTAAACTAAACAAAGAAAAACATAATGATATGCAGGTGTTATACATGAATCTTAACACTTGGAACCACAGTTTGAAAACCACTAATTTAGGGTATACAACTTAACAGTAGGTGATGTTGAAGCCGAAGTCAAAACATTCAAATGTAAACCATACATAAGTATAACACCCTTAAAATGTGTGATGGAAAAAACAACGACAAGAGTAAATCTTTTATAGAAAACAATCAGCGGCAATTGGGGAACATTGTAGTAGAAGTCTGTCTTGATTGCTAGTAGGAAAATATTTATACATATCCAACATCTCCCAGGTTTATGCTGTCATATTCTAAAAAAAAAACCCAAAACAAAACAAAAAAAACATATATTTAGTTTTCTATAAAGTTTTAACACGTTCTGGGATTTTCTTTTGTCTCATACAAAAACACATGAAAATCTTGCATACATTGGGTTAAGTCCTTTCAGTGAAAGCATGTGATGAGATTTGGTTATTAGCTGGGGTCAGAGCAGATTAACCCTTGTGTTTATGTTGGTGTGTGTACAATCAGAGAAATGTGTGTGTGTATAGAAATGTTTCTGTTTTCTCAGTCGACCATAGAGGCACTTTTAAACACACAAACAGACACTGCCTTCATTTGGAAATACTTGTGTTTGTGTGTGGTTAGGTTGACGCTGTGTGTGGCCCTGGCTGTAGCCACTATGCTAATCATAATTACTGTTCAGCAAACTGTATACCTGTATGGTCAGCAATAATAAACCACACCAGAGAATCGAATCCATTCAAAACTTCAAACACAAACAGACCTAAAAACGGAAATGAAATCATAGACTCTTACAAAATGCACAAAACACATAGCAGCATCTCAGATTCAGACCTCCCTTGAGAGTGGTGGGGGTGTATCCTCAGTTAAATTCAATTTTGTGATATTTAATTGGGTGGATAAAAACATTTTTGTTTCTTTTTTTTATAAACAGGATATTGTAAGACTGTGTATTTCTCCATCAAAACACATTACATTGTGACACTGATGCTATACTACAATATTAAAGCCACAAGCTACAAGCCACTTTTTATTTTTTTGTAATTTATAGTTTACATTAGTATAGATTAGGATAATGTTAAATCAAAATGAGTCATGTTCAGATCTAACTAAATCAACCGTCACATATTAAACTTTCGTTGTACCACTTTGCGGTTATACGACTCATCCCCTGAACATGAACTTGAACACAAGAACCAGACTGAAACAATTTCAATTTAATGGTATTTTCACAGCATGGTACAGCTGTGTGTGAGAGCCACCTGCATCACAGAGATGGATGAGAGAGCCTAATTGAAGCCATGTGTTGACTCCAAAAATGCTCTAGTCTCTGCTGGTGATGAAAGGAAAGAGAAAAAACATTTGTGGATTCTTTAATAAATGAAAATTATGGAAAAAGCATTATGTTTGACTCCAAGCTTTTGATTTGAATGCTTACATGAAACACATGCCAGGCCCATCTAGTTGTATTTTTGTTTGTTTGTTTTGGGGTTTTTTTTAACAGCTTTTATTACAAAATATAGCTTTTAATCCAGCCACCCAAATCAGTCCCAGGCCCGGATAAATGGAGCAATCTGCAACAAAAACAATGTTTGAAATGTTTTAAATCTGATGCCACAGAAATCTTTCCATCATTTTATTGCACATCTGTCATATCAGTGTTTAAAATCAGCATACACAATATTGTGTAAATGTCCACTGCCTTTCTTTATTTCCTCAGAGATTTAAACTACAACTCTCTAATGGAGTTCCCTGTTGCCATTCATTCTCTCAAGCATCTCAAAGAACTGTAAGTAGAGTGTGAAGAAATATACTTTTACACTAGATATTAAAAGGCAGGATAATGTTAAAGAAATGCATGAGAATTTTGTATAAATGTGAATGTGCGCATGAATAATGTTATAATCTAACATTAAAAAAAAACTAATACGTGTTGTTGGTGTTCAGTGGGTTTCATAGCAATAATATCCAGTCCATCCCAGAGCATGCTTTCACAGGAAATCCAACACTGATGACAATGTAGGTAACTGTGAACCCCGGAAAGACCCATATGTTAATATTTTAAATTATATTGTCTCATTTTATATTTCTTAGATTTTTTTATGACAATCCAATCCAGTCTGTTGGTCGCTCTGCTTTTCAGAACCTCCCAGAACTACGAACATTGTGAGAAAATATTAGCAGTAAAATATTTCAAATCACACGTATTATTTATTATTTGAAAGTCCTAAGATTTCTTTCTTTTAGATCTCTGAATGGAGCAGCAAATCTCACAGAGTTTCCCAATCTGACAGGAACTGCAAGTTTGGAGAGTTTGTAAGTCTTTACTCATACAGTAAGCCCATCCTAGGTCTAATGCTGACCCACTAACACTAGCCTTGGTTTGTTGGACAAAGGAGCCATGATGCTTCACTCCCTTTTGACCAGGCAGCTGCACACAGAGGAATGTTCCTCAGTGTTTGCTGTTGTATCCAACACCTCTGTGGCCTTGAGCATCAAACTTCAAATCAAAATCATGTCACCACCATTATTATTCTATCTGATGGACTGTGAATTTATTTATCTGCTGCTCGCCCCAAAATCAAAAGCTTTTTTCTCTTGTATTAACTCGGTTTTCTTGTTATAATAAACACATGCCCAAAGTTTATTTTCTTGTAGTTTTCCATTTAAATTTTCTTTCTAAGGGGCTGTATGCGTGAGCAGTAACCTTACCCTGAACCACAAAGTGGAAATAAAAACTCCAACTAAACAAACCTTCACACATTCTTGAACTTTCTGCTTCACTGATATTTTACTGGTTTGCACTTATGAATGATCCCTCCCAACGTCAATGGCTCAGTGTTCTGCAGATATGAGCTAAAAGTGGATGACACTGAAGCTTGCTAAATGTTGCGACACCAAGTCAGGAGTAAAAACATACTATACACTTAGAAAGAATAAAAGTGTAAGTTTTCATTTTGGTTAAGGGTCCATCACCTGCTTTTTTACCTTTATACCTTTTTTACCTTTATACTTTAAAAATCTCTTTCCCTGATGTTTGCCACAGATATCATTTATTCAACTACGGGCATTTTTATTTTATTTTTAAAAGTACTTTGGAGTCACGTGTTTGTTCCCATTAGGACTGATACATTATATGCCATTGTGTGGACCATTCTAGGCAAAACAATAAAAATTTTATGAGATACGCAGGAAATTGTAAACTGTAAAAATTACATTTGTTTGTCTAGAACCATCACTGGAGCGAAGATTACCGCACTGCCTCCATCAGTTTGTGACCAACTCCCAAACCTTGAGCTGCTGTAAGTTAAGTTCATTCATTGAAGTAAAAAGCACATAAGATCTACATTATAATGGACTACAGTAATTACTAATTGTCATTGTGTCTGTCCACAGTGATCTCTCATATAATCAGCTCCAGACTCTGCCCATCTTCTCTGGCTGTGAGAGCATTCAGAGGATGTCAGTCTTGTTGTATTTTCCTTTTATCTTTAAGTGCTTTATAAAGTGCATTACAGATGTTTCATTTGACACCTTCAAACCCATAAAACAACATATTTATTTAATCTGCCTTTAATCTGCTTCTTGTAATTTAACACTGGCGTGACCATGACAACCAATAAAGTATAGCCAGCTGTGCATTGTGGGAATAATTAGCACTGATGCAGTAAAAGAGCACCACTTAGAGATACAGACAAGAGTTAGATAAATATAATGTTAATACACTGGAAATATACAAGTAACTGTAACTTTATTTTACTTTGTAACTTTACAGAGACCTACACCATAATGAAATACAAGAATTAGAAGAAAACACCTTCAATGGGCTGATGTCTTTGCGCTCACTGTAAGTACAAACTGCACACCAGTACACACTAGTACACACATGCTGGGTTTCAGCTTTTTGGGGACATTACACTGACATACAATCATTTCCTGGAGGGTTATCATAAAGTTGACATTAGTTACTACATGTCAAACCTTAACTTCAACCCCAAGTTTAACCTATTTTAATTTATATCTGAACTTCAAATCGCACTGTTGATCTAAACATAAAGTACTTACATCAATGAGGACCTTATTTTTGTCCCCATAAGTGAGGTAGGTCTTCGTGATGTCAGTGTGTATGCAGGTTTTGGTCCCCACACTGTGATATAGACTCACCCACACTAGTACACAGTAAATTACAGCTGGAGCAGGGATCCAGTGGTGCCTTCATAAGTACTTCCAAATGGAGAGTGGGGCTGCTCCAGGTGGTCTACTCACTGATGAGACAGGTATGATGCTGTCATGTGGCATGCATTCAGAAATCCTATAAACACATAGTTCCACATGTTGAACTCACATTAAACTGCCAAGCTACAAGGATACAGAGTGACACATGTTAGTAGAAGATTATGGTTATAAACTACTACCAGTATAAAACACAATTACAAAGTAATTTATGTTGTTATTTTGAATCTTATCTTGAATTACAGCAAATAAACTTTTACTTTTTCTTTTGTCCCCATTGAAATCTGCTCAGCATTAATCAGCAATAATATAATGTAAATATTTAATCTTTTTAGTGATTTGTCCTGGAACAAACTTTCATCTGTGAAGCCAAACTCCTTTTCTGCCCTTCCTGCATTGACCAAACTGTGAGTGTTTTGTTTTTGCGACTGTCTTATATATATTTTTTATCTTTAAATTAAATAAATATTAATTATTATGCTTTTATTCTTCAGTGATCTATCATCCAATCAGATTGTTGCCCTGCCTCTGGCCAGCCTGCATGCTCTGACTCACCTACGTTTGTCTGGAAACAATCAGCTAAAGGATCTAATTCCACGAGAGACCCTGCCGAGAGTCAGGTGAACTAAAACATGTAATACCGTTATGAAGGCACTGAAAGTATTTAACCAAAGACACATTGTAGCTTATCTACAGCATGCTTCACTTGACATAAAGTCCGCTGTTGTGTTTGACTAACACAGTAACTGCAGGGAAAGGTGACATCACCACTGCCAAACATAGAGTGAGATAACTTGAGGTCTAGAGGGTTAAAAACAATATCTTAATTATAACTTTTAAATACAATTGCTATACTATTAACTTTATCCAAGATTGTAGTGTAACCTGGATTTTTGTAGAAATTCGTCTTTTCAGGCCATCTCTGATCCATCTGTGTCCATAATATTATCAACTCAGGTCAGTGTTGTTTGTTATTTCCAGTAATAACAAATGATTTAATCAATATTAATTACATAATACAGTTGTACTGGCCCACCCACTTTACATGAGAGAAACCTAAATTTAAAAGTTGATTTTGTTTAATAATCTACTTTTTTTTTTGCATATATATGTGTGTGTATGTGTGCAGAGTGATGGAGTTACCTTACGCTTTCCAGTGCTGTGCCTTTGTCTCTTGTGAACAACAAGTAGCAGTGTCCACCTGGAGAAGAGAGGATGTGGACAGAGCAGGGGCTGAGTCTGGAGACACTGTGTTCATTTCCAGCCAAGGTTTATACAACACTACATCAACAGAAGCAGTAGTAATTCAAGTATAGAACTTATTTACTTAAAGGATCAGTACTGCCTGCCTCCAAATAAAAAATATCCTCTTTCACTACATACATACATGTAGGTCTCTCTGTCAACACTTTCTTCATTTGGTTATTTATTACATATTTTTCTGTATTATACAGTTGAACATGACTGGGAAGATTTTCTAATTCAGTTTGATGATGAACCAAAACTTCACCAAACAGTGCATTGCAGCCCAATACCAGGTAATTTGAGAATCTCACTTTTATAAAAGACAGTATGGTTAATTCTTATTTCTTTGAACATCTTCCAGGGCCTTTCCGTCCCTGTCTCCATCTGCTCGGAAGCTGGCTGATCCGAGGAGGGGTGTGGTTGATTGCAGCTATCTCATTGGTCAGCAACTGTCTTGTTGTTTCATCCATCTTCCTGGCCCCTGTCTCAATGACCACCCCTTCTAAGTTGCTAATTGGCTTGCTGGCCCTGGTCAATGGTCTTTTGGGCGTGTGGAGTGGATGGTTGGCTGCAGTGGATGCCTGGACTTACGGCAATTTCTGGAGGTAACAATCAATCGCTGCATTTTCACAGGGGAACAGAGCAGGTGAGGCTGGGGTGGGTGCTTTCATTTGCCAAAGTGAGTCAAACCGTGCCAGCCTTGGAGTCCTTTTGCAAAGTGGTCTAGCACAAACAAGACACACCCCCATATAGTGATTACACGTCTGTGTGAACAAATGGATAAAAACAGATCAAGGTGGCAGTACCTCTCAGACAGTTTTATAATTGTTGATTACACCACCAAATCTTTCCTGGCTGACATGATCCATACACCACCAGCTTTTGGAAATTACATGTTAAGTTTTTGTAAAACTGGGCCTCACAATAGAATCATATGGATGGTCAGTGTTTGTGGATTTAGATTAAGATGTGGATTAAGATAAACTGTTCAACAAACTACTGAATACAGAAAATCTAGACAGTCTTGTTGTCATAACCTTAGTGTGTATATGTTATAGGTATGGCACTGCATGGGAGAGCAGCTACATGTGTGAACTCAGCGGCTTCTTGTACACCTTTGGCTCACAGACCAGCATATTTCTGCTCACCGTTTCAGCTTTGGAGCGATGCTTAACTTTCAGCACTGGACCCCACAAAGTACAAGGACAAAGTGGTGGTAAGAATACAATTTTTGAGGTTATGCATGTAATTTAAAAGGTGCAATATGTAACTTGGGTAGGATTTACCACCTCCTTGTCTCTATTGAGATGTAGTTGCTTTGCAAAGAATGTTCTACAATAGAGCATTAGGCTCAACAGAAACTAGCAGGGGGTGCCACAAAGCCAAGTTACAGTTCAGATCTGTGGAGAGACGACCCCCAACCACAAAAGTTACATAGTCCACTATAGTTTAAAATGTTAAGTCTAAAACATTATATGTCAAGGTGTCTAAAAGTGTAACTTTTAAATTTTATTGTCTGATTTTGTACTTCTTGTTTTAAAAGGTCAGTCTTCAACTACACTTTCAATACAACTTGCCATATTTTTGTGCTTTCTGCTGGGTTTGGCTGTAACACTACCCCCCCTGGTGGCTGGACACAGCAGCACATCGCTCTGCTTGCTGCTGCCCTCCTCTGCCTCTTCTGCCTCTGTGGCCTTCTCGGTGTTCCTGGTGCTGTTGGACTCTCTGTGCTTTCTGCTGATGATAATGGCCTACACACGTCTCTACTGTCAAACCAACAAGTCTCTCCCCATTTCTGAAGAGGACGGGGCACTCACTCGACATGTGGCGTGGTTACTCTTCTCAGACTGTCTCCTCTTCCTCCCAGTGGCCTTCCTCTCATTCTCTTCATTTCTTCACCTCCCGGCCGCCGGACCAGATGCTGCTAAGGCCGTTCTCCTGCTGGTGGCGCCACTTCCCTCGTGCGTCAATCCACTGTTGTATCTCCTGTTCAACCCACTTGCGAGAGATAAGTTAGTGACTCTGGCGAAGCACACTTGTGGGACTGTGAGTACACAGCTGTCCATTAAACACAGAGGACCAAAAGGAACATGCAGGTCAAGACAGTTAGACACAAAACATGATGAAGATGCTGAAAAACAGTCATGTGACTCAACTCAGGCCTTGGTGGGCATCAGAGGAACAGAAGAAGAAGAGTCAGACTGTGGAAAGACTGAGGCTCAGCACACAGTCATGTTTATTGTGCCACATCATTAATCGGACACATTTGAACATGTTAAAACAAATTTAAGATAGTACATGCATTAAATTGAAGGAGATTTTACTTTATAAAGCCCTTTGTTTGCTACACTAGTAACAAAGCTATTCTACTGACTCCAAAGGGTGTTTTCATCTCTCATTTGTTTATCATGTTTAAGTTCTGTACACCAAACGCAATTTTTTTTTTTTCCTAACGATTTAATCTTTTGTTTAACATGAAAAAGATAATTGCCATGCAACACAAACAGACTGCAGCAATGCACACAGGGCACATGTGCGCAGCACACTGCATCATGTCTCATGAAAGACAGGACAAAATGGGCATTCATTTACATATTGACAGTCAGTTATGTTTACATTGTTGTGTTCTGCTTTTTATTGACATTTGACTAAACTTTAAGTGGTATCCTAGTCATAAGAATTGGTCAAACATCTGCTGCAGCCTGAAGTGACTAAATATTTTTACCAAAACACACAGCAAATGTTCAACCAAATGTTTCAGTGCAATTACTGTGTTTTTATATAGTTCTTATAAATGTGTGAAAACTAAGGAGTCTATGTGACTTTTGTCACATCGTCGAGCTCCAAATGTATTTTTCTGAGTTGTTCTCTTCTAAGTTGAAGAAAAAAGTGAAACAACCCCTTTTCCCTTAAATGATAGTATTTGAGGGAGGGATATACAGATGATTTATTGTAAGAATTATATTTTTCTTTGAGGGTAACTATACTGCTTAGCAGGCCAATTCCGTCCATCCATTTTCTTCCACTTATCCGGGGCCGGGTGGCAGGGGCAGCAGTCTAAGCAGGGACTCCTTGACGTCCTCCAGCAACATTGTCCCTCCAACGTGTCCTGGGTCTTCCCAGGGGCCTTCTTCCAGTGGGACATGCTTGGAACACCTCCTGAGGGAGGCACCCAGGAGGCATCCGGAACAGATGCCCAAGCCACCTCAGCTGGCTCCTCTCGACATGGAGGAGCAATGGCTCTATTCCAAGCTCCTCCCGTGTGACTGAGCTCCTCATCTCCTGTCTCTAAGGGAGCGCCCAGCCACTCTGCGGAGGAAACTAATTTCGGCCGCTTATATCCACGCTCATGTCCTTTCGGTCATTACCTAAATCTCATGACAGCCACCTTTTTCTGGTCGAGAACCATGGCCTCAGATTTGGAGTGGATCCTCATCCCAGCTGCTTCACACTCGGCTGGAAACCACCCCAGTTTATGCTGCAGGTCCTGGTTCGATGGAGCCATTAGGACAACATCATCTCGCCAACATAGCAGAGATGAGATCCTGTGGTCCCCAAACCGGAGCCCCTGCGGCCCCTGAGTGCGCCTAGAAATTCTGTCCATAAACACAATGAACAGAACAGGTGACAAAGGGCAGCCCAACACCCACCAGGAACAGGTCTGACTTACTGCTGGCAATGCGAACACAGCTCCTGCTCCGGTCATACAGTGACTAGACAGCCCCAGACCCCCCACAGGACACCACAAGGGATACAAATGCCTTCTCCAGACTGGTTAGGCAAACTAAAGAAAGAGCTGATCCAGTGGCTCACACTGCTCCTCCTGGATCTGAGATTCTCCTCTCTAGTACACTGGAATAGACCTTACCAAGGACGCTGAGGAGTGTGATTCCCCTGTACATACCCTCTGGCCCCCCTTCTTAAACAGAGGGACCACCACTCCAATCTGCCAGAGGCACGGTCCACGGCCAACATGCGATGTTGCAGAGACATGTCAGCCAAGACAGCTCCACAACATCCAGAGACATAAGATAAGGATGGATCTTATCCACTCCCTAAGCCTTGCCACTGAGGAGCTTGCCAGTGACTTCAGCCAGGGTGAGGGACGAGTCCACCTCCGAGTCCCCAGCCTTTGCTTTCTCCTCGGAAGACGTGACTGTGGGATTGAGAAGATCCTTAATGTATTCCTTCAACCATTTGACAACATACCCAATCGAGGTCAACAGTTCTCCCCCCCGTACTGTGGGGGGAGACAGTTGTTGGTGAAGCACTGCTTCCCCCTATTGAGGGTTAGATGGTTTGCCAGAATTTCCTTGAGGCTGTCCAATAGTCCTACTCAATGGCTTCTTTGAACTCCTCCCAACCCCAAGTTTTTGCCTCTGCGACCGCACGGGTTGCGACACACTTGGCCCGTCGATACCCGTCAGCTGCCTCAGGAGTCCCACGAGCCAGCAAGGCCTGATAGGACTCCCAATTCCATTTATTTGAACTGTATATTCCATCTTTGTCTGATCAGTGAGAGTAAAAACACATTCACTGTTTCCTATTTTTTCTAAATAGAGCTACTGTGACAATCCATGTTTTATTTTGTGTAGAGTTTATCTTTTACTTTTTTACCTTGTTAATATGAATGTGAAACTGCATGAAGAAAAACCACACATCTTTGTGGTTTGTACAATTGTTAGTTGTGCAGCCTGATCAGAATAGCACAAAAAAAAAAAGTACTGAGCATTTCATGTTGACAGCTGAAACTAAAATGTAAAGCTGCCAAGTAGATTAAATGTGTTGATGTTTCAACTGTCTCACTGTCCGCTGTGTGTGACAATTTATTGGCTGCACTTTACTTGTGATCAGCACTTAAAAAGACAATAAAAACAAACTCAATAAGATGACAGTAGTCCATGCCTTTGTGTTCCTTTTATCCTTTTTGATTGAAAATAAGTCCCAAATGTAGTAAGTAATATTTGTAGCATAAAATATTAGCCACAAATTATGTCTTACGTAGAGGAATGTTGTGACTCACTGAATGATTGCATTGTTTGTTGTGAGACTGGTGTGAGTCATTTTTGTTCAAAATCCTGATTATAACAAATATTCACTGATCCAACACACTTGATCTTCACACATGAGATATACAACTGTCAGTGCACAGTTGAATTAGCTATTTACTGATATGGCCAGCTGATTACTGATATGACAATTATATTCATAGACTAGATTGAAAATTATGAATTATTATGTAATATGTCAATGTGGTAAGTGATGTCATGTACATTATTAATTGCTAGGCGCACTTATATGTGTAATGAGTTAAACTTTCCAGTAGAACTACTTTAGTGAATCTGTCTTTGTGATGCAAGGGTGAAAGGGAGGAGTGGAGATGTTGCATGGTTTAAACAATTGATGATGCACCTTTGAGTGAGGAGGAAAGAAGTCACTAATTTAATTAACTCATGTTCTTTCTAAAGTTGAGTTTTGAAGACCTTTGTGAAGTCTGTCCAATATTTATTTAGTCACATGTTGAATGGTAGCTCAGATTCATGCTGCATTTATGCTACACCAACCACATAATTATGCACAGTAATTGGTGCTATTCATTAAAATTATTAAAACATGGCTGAAAATAAACACTTTGTAGGGAAATACTCTCAGTTCTCTGAACATTCTGTTTAAACTTGTTTTCAAGTAGTAAAAAGAAATGCTGTTGATGAAAGAAAAGTGAAAATACAATTTTATGTGGTTTAGTCATGTTTGTTTGCATTGTTTGGGTTACCAACAGAGTTGAGTGAATAGTTTGGTAGGTGTATTCAATTGTGAACTTTATTTATTGTTAAAACAGACATGTTTGGGAGCCATGTGATTTGTGTTCCAAGGTTTTTAAATGTTTTGAAATGTTAGACAACCCATTTGGTCTCATGACCCCAAAAATACTGAAGGCTGCAGCTGGTATGCCTATGTCCTATGCCTGTGTTTCTCAAACTATGGTACACTGGTGGCACACGGCCTGTTTCTGTTTTCAAAATTGTGTTCTCTGTTTTGTTCATCCTCTTTTAGACCTAATTTAGCCATGGTTTAGTCCAGTTTCGCATCTTGTAACTTTTTAGAGAGTCCACTACCCGGTTGTCTTCATGAAGATGTTATTGCTTTGTTTGGAATGTTCTACAGTATGACATTAAACAAATCTATCTTCATTTGGGCAACAAGTCTAAGTTACAGGTCAGATGTCATCTGTCAGTACCACTGGGATATTTTTGCACTGAAAGAGTCTGTAATTAAATAAGTGCAGGATATAGTATTGTGGAACATTCCAAGCAGAGCAATAACACCCCCTCTCAAAAATTTCCATAGCGCACATTGATTGAAGGAGATGGAGAAACTAGTTATAATGAAACTTGGCATAAGGCCATAGTTTGAGACATAATCAAAATTGTTCTGATAAGAAAGACGTGATAAGATAAAAACTCGCACTAGTGTCATTGTAGTTTAAAATCAAGACTTCTTTAGAGAAACGGATGCTTTGCAATATCGGTATGTGTTCTTATATTTTATGTTTAGTGTCTAAATGAAAATAATAATAATAAATAAATGCAACATTGACTGTAATATTCTACGTGACATACTTTTTTCCAGCGGCTTGGTCTACGCTGCTCCCTGCTGGATGAACATCAGAACTGCATATACGGGAAATGACATTGTTACTTTGTAACCTACATTATTGAAATAAAGAAACATGTCATTATGCTACAACAAATAAACAAATCAAGCCATGAAATTAAGATCAAATTTAGGCACACTAAACCCAAAAATCCATGCTTAAACCATGCCTACAGACATGAGTGATGAGAGGGGAGGGCAGGCGTCCTGTGGGAATTTCAGAATCTGGGCATGGGAGCGTAATCTTTCATGATACCCCACGAAAAGAGAAGTACGTTTATTATAACCTATATCTAATACTTAAACGTGCACTGCGCAACTTTTCTAGTTCATTACGGGTGTTTCTGTTGCTCAAACATACAATATTTCTTTCTGTGAATCGGGGCGACTCTCCATAGATAGATAGATAGATCATAGTGCTGTAACCTGCTTGTTTCCCTTATGTCAGTTGGTTTAACCTAGGGTGACCAGATTTTCAAAACCAAAAACTGGCACTGGCGGTTGGTAATAATAAAATTCTGAAATGATTAAGGAAGGATTAAGGAAAACTGTTCTGACTAACATGTGAGTCAGTGTAGTCACATTTTCTTTGTGTTTTTGGTCATTTTAAAGCAGCTTTTCTATATTGTACACAATGACAATTTATTCCACTCTTTACTCTTGGCAGGTATCAGATTGGTAAAAATAGGGACACCTGGGACATTTCCCGTATAAAACTGAGACAAATCACTGGTTTGGATAAATCTGCGGGGACAAGGGACACAGGGCTCAAAACTAGGACTGTTCCAGGTAAATAGAGACGTCTGGTCACCCTACACATAGGTTTAATCTATACTGTGGAATATTCTATAAAAAAGCAAGAATAGTTCCACAGAGACAAGCAGGTGACGGACCCTCCATCTGAAAAGTTACAAAATGCACCTTTAAATTTACTATAAATTAAAGACTGGTTGTAAACTTCCACCAATGTACCTGATGCCAAAATCACCCCCAGCAGCAGCGGCAGAGAGCAGTGACCATAGGCTGTATATATAGGGTCTATGGCCTGGACAGACACGCCCACTCTTTTGTCATGTGACCCAACGCTCTGTAAAAAAAAAACAAGGTGTCACTCTGCTGTCGCCTTTTGACTGCGCTCTGTGGATTCTACTAACCGTTAGTGTGAAACATCAGTACAGACATAGACGATCTTTGGTGGCTAGCGGCTAACTTTGATTAGCTCTGATAGACGCCATTAGTTGTGCGAAAAAGCAGGTATTTTCACTAATAAATAGGGAATTACGTCGCGGTTACATACTATTTTTTATACGTATAGATTTGCATTAATATATTTTAGATTCCCTCATGTTGTCGACTCGGCATTCAAACAATTTCTAGTTGTTTTTGTGAAGTCGGAAGCCAATGTAAGCTGCGCAGGAGTTCAGTTCCGACAGGGATAGCATCTATAATAGCTAGTTAGCATCGGAAGTGTTTTCTTTTTTGTATTTTTGTAAATATTTTTCCTGTGATGGCGGCCAGTGGGGCTGGTGGTGGAAAAACCTACTCTTTTAAGGTGGTGTTGCTCGGGGAAGGCTGTGTGGGCAAGACGTCTCTGGTGCTGCGATATTGCGAAAACAAATTCAACGACAAACACATTACAACTCTACAGGTAAGAGACGTGAAACAGTCAGTGGTCTTGTATCTTTGGACAGGACAACTACTCTTTATACATGTTAAACAAATAAAGTGCAGGAGTATGGGTGTTCTGTTGCTGTCATCTGTGCTTTGTTGACCGAGTGAAAGCGGTGTTGTTACAAAATCTACTTTCTCTGATTGAAATATAAGACACTCCCGTCCACTCGGAGATTATAATGCTAGAAGTAAACAAGCCATTAAGATCAGAGAGAGGTTACTGTATGCATGTGTTTGTCAGTTGTTTCAGCCATGTCTTAGATCTAAACCTTTATTTATTGGTTGGACCTTACCTTGAGCTGAGACGGTCAGCTCTTGTGTTTATGAGGTCCAAAAATCGTTCTAGAGATAAAAATCAGTATGTTTTAATTCAATTGGCCATTTATACCATAAACGTTACACAGTAAATCTACTTTTTAAAATATCTGTTTTCCTTTATCACTAAAACAAATTTGAAATGGCACAAAAATTGACTTAAACCCAAAAATAAACCCAAACTAAAATCATTCTTGATTACATACAGGTGGATGTAAAGTAGATATGAACCAGGACAACTTTAATACTAGACTAATAGTTGGTATTTATTTAAAGGTGCCCTATGTAACTTTTCTGATGGAGGGAGTGACGTGTTTGTCACCTTTGTCACCAGTTTATTTCCATGGAAATATATACATTTAAAGGTCCTATAGTGGAGCACGTCTTGTATTACCACGTGAAATCACAAGATGTTTTTAGTTTGAGAAAAAGCTATGCAAGGTCTGTGTGTGAAACATGCGTGAAGGAAGCAAATACAACTCCAGGCATGTTTTTTTTATTGAGGAAACAACATTATAACATAGTAATCTATGATGTGGATGGCACTGTTTTGCATGGTTTACTCCAGTCAAAAGTTGAATTTCTTACCTCCTCAGTGCATTTTCCCATCTCCCCTTGGAGCATTTCTCTGCTTTTGGGAGACAGGCAAGCTGCTTGTGAGCGTCTGAGGACCACTGCGTGTGTCACTTGCGTCAGAGGCCTCTTGCAAACTTGAGCCGGTGCCTGCAATCTGTTTTGTTTTAGCTTTGAGCTTGTTCTGGAGAACGACTGTGACTGACAAAATTGACATTCTTTACATTTTTGTGGCGATGATGTCAAGTCTGAAAATATCCTACTTGATCTTTATCAACATGCATTTTGTCTAGTCATTGTCACATGGAATTTAATATTAAAATCTAATCTTTATCTTTATCTCATGTAATTGTCAAATGAATGAATATCTTCAGCTGTTTGTCACAAGTGTGCAAAATCCCCTTTATACAACTGTGCCACATTAAAATTAAATCAGTACAAAATTGATCTTGAGTGATATCCTGCTCCATTTTAATCTGGTGCAGTTACGTAATTGTAGCATTCAAAATATTCATTAATAATTCCTCTCACAAATATGGCTGACTGCCTCATTAACAAAAACTTAGTATGTGTGTACCTGAAGCTGGCTGGAGGTGACCTGTACTGTATAAGTCACCTGAAGACAGAACAGGTAACAGTGTTGTTCCTGTTTTTTGCTTGCAGGCATCCTTTCTCACAAAAAAACTCAACATCACTGGAAAAAGAGTTAACCTGGCCATTTGGGTAAGTGAAAAACTAGTATGTGAGTGTTTTATTTGAGCTGAAATGTGTCTGTTCTTTAGCTGTGCTTTGCTTACATGACCTGTACTGGTTCAAACAGGACACAGCAGGTCAGGAGCGCTTCCATGCATTAGGTCCCATCTACTACAGAGACTCCAATGGAGCCATACTAGTGTACGATATCACAGACGAAGACTCCTTTCAGAAAGTACGGTTTCTACTATATGGTTTAGTGATCAGTTTATGGATAACTAATTCCATTTACTTTTTATGTTCATTCAGGTGAAAAATTGGGTGAAAGAGTTGAGGAAAATGTTGGGGAATGAGATATGCTTGTGTATAGTAGGTAAGAATATATTTCACTTTTTAAATACCAACTGTTTATGTCCTAACTAGGATCTGTTTTTCATATTCAAAGATGACCTGACTAATCAAAACCACTTTGTTCTCTGTTTGTTTCTCCCTCTACAGGTAACAAAATAGATTTGGACAAAGACAGACATGTTTCAGTGGAGGAGGCTGAAAGGTACAGGCTAAAGTACAGCCTGATGATGTGCTTGTGAACTGTGCTGTGTAATAGTTGCTGTTTTGTCCGTGTAGTTATGCTGAGTCAGTGGGGGCCAAACACTACCACACATCAGCCAAGTTAAATAAAGGCATCGAGGAGCTCTTCTTGGATCTCTGTAAAAGTAAGTAACTCTTATTAAAATTGCACTATATTACTGTTCGTTTGGAGGTTACACCACTTGGCTGTCTCCAGAGCAATATTTGCTCATTGCTTTGCCTACAGTGTGCTACACTATGGCATTATGCATATCTGTTTCCATGCTTACACTGATGTGACTCCACCAGGCCAGGTTAGAGGTCAGATCTGTGAAGTTGTGAGCACACTTGCCTTAAGAATTGTATGTTTTTTTTAACATGTATATTTCAGTAATGAAAACGGGTGGAATTGAGTAAATGCAAAGCAGATATGATTAATGCCATACCATGAAAAATTCCAGGCATGGTAATTTAAATATATTTACAATTTGCAGCTACAGAGTTCCATATTACAATTTGGAAAAAAAAAATGTAATATTGTCTTATTTATTTATTTTTACATTAATATTCTTTGCTTTAAAAGTACAGATAAGAGTAAAGCTTAAATATTATATTGATAAGCAGTATCAATAGCAGTGCTGATATATCCTTAGCCCTATACTTTTATAGTTGTTTCATAACTGCGTTATCTTTTCAGGGATGATGGAAACGGCTCAAGCAGAGGAGCGGTTGAAGGGAAATGGTGCCAGCCAGTCGGCATCAAACAGACGAGGAGTTCAGATCGTTGACGACGAGCCACAGGCCACACCCGCTGGAGGCTGCTGCTCTTCTGGCTAAATATTTTACATATATTTTCATATTAGCCTCTCACAATGTAAAGCAGATTTTTTGTCTGGTGTTCTACTCAAAAGAAGCGTCTGCTGCTACGGAGCATGGGATTTTTATTTAAATTACATTATTCCATGTTCCCTAATATAAAATGTGTAAGTTATGTTGATTTCTGCCATTTCTTCAGAACCACATTAATGAGGTACAAATCAAACACCTCTGTGGACAGTATTTGTTCAGATTCCCACATCTGTTTTAGAGCAGGTGAAGTTTTTAATGACTAAAGACAAATGTATTTAAAAGTATGAATAGAGGCTATAATTGTTTTGCCATAACTGCCCTTGCTAACTTGAAGTTTGTGAGTATTCATTTTGATCAACAAAAGAATTTTAGGACTGGCATTTCCCACATTCATACTGGCACCCGTTAAAATTTTTCAGATAACATAAGTGAAAATGTGTAAAATAATTAAACTGCAGTAAATAGGGAGAAGGAGACACCATTTATCTGCCTGAAAGACAAGACACACACAAACAGCTAATTTTCTTGTTTAAAGTGTGTAATGAATGCATGTTTAATTTCTGTTAAACGCTGTTTAAAAAATAAAAAAAAAATAAAAACTGAACTGCTATTATTTAATGACATGTGTTCATCCCTCTATTATTGTGACAAATATTTATACAGGCTTAATTGGTTCAAAATATCAAACACAAAAAATCCAATACAAATACAGTGACAATGACAAAAAAGTTCTCTTTATTTACATGAAACTGAACAATACAGATAACATCCCTTTGAATAATTACCTCTGCTATACCAATTTGTACAGGCTCAAACAACTAGAAATAGTTTTACAGTACCAATAAAGTCAAATCACCTTCCCCTAGAAAGTATAAGATGTACTGTATACAATGAAAATGCTGCAGTAATATAAAAGTAGAAAATAATGTATGCAATGGCACAAAAATAGTTGAATCGCCCACTTTTAATTAACACTAATGGCAAAAGATTTTAAGGTGTCCCTTTGGAAAATCAGTGAGAGCAGCCTTTGGTAAGTATTGTAATGTGAAATATGAAAACCCAGTGCAAATGCAGAAACTTACAGACAGCTAACTGAAAGACCTGGCTGTGCCCATCAAACAAAGGTAAGATAGGAGAGATTCAGAGCCATTTTTCCCTAAACCGGTTTTTCAGGTTTATAAGTACAAGAAAAGAGCCTGGCATTGGTGAAGATCAAAGCTAATATCCTGGATAGCTGGGAGGGTTCTGAAGCTCCTGATATTTTGGAGGCTGTGGGCTGAAGATGGCAGGTAGATTTGCCACCATAGGGGCTCTGTTGCGGTGTCTCAGCTGGTGAATCATGAGAGAGGACAAACCCAGGCCCAGGATCTAAGCACATACAAAGTGTATTATAAATAAGGAGTCTGTGTAACCCTCTTGTCAAAAACAGATGACTACCTTTGAAACTTTTTCTACCATTATTAGTATGGTTAAGTGTATACTCAATTTTCAAGACAAATTAAGACATTTTTATTTGAGCAATACTCACTGCAAGAGCGGCTAGGGTAAAGACAATACCAAGCAGGACATCAGCGACCAATAGGACATAGTGCATCAGAATGGGGAAGCAGGGCTATAGGGAAGGAGAAAAATGTTTATGTTTTCAAAAAAGTTGTAGTAGTACAAGTAATTTACAATTAAACAAAGTTAAGATGATTACTTACTCTGCTGTAGACTGACTTTTTTGGTGTGAAAACCTGCAGAAGACACATATATCAATGAAGTATTCTACCATACTATTGTGCCAAAGAGTTTTAAGACTTACGTTGTAGCCAATATTCATGCAATTATCCTCATACTCTTGGTTGCAGAGGCAAGTGTCCGGTATGTTATCACGCCAGTCCTTATAGCTGAAGAGCCCGCAGCATTGGATCTATAAAACACACCACAAAACTGTCAAATTTGACATTCACGAACATATAACCATTTTTAGCAGTCATGATATGCCAATTAACAGTCAGTTTCATTGGACAGTTTTACCTGACTCTGCATGTCATTAGTCATCTCCTGCACTTTACTCTGGGCCTGGTCCAAAGGCAGAAATCTGCGGAATGTTTCTTGCAATACAGGCTCCAGCTAAAATAAAAAAAAGACCAAATTTAAGTCACAATTATTATTATTATTATTACAAATAAATAAACAATTACCTGTGGCCGTGCAAATGCAGTATTGATTCCAAAACGAAGCATTATCAGACTCCCAATCACCATGCAGACAAGGAACTGGACAGGAATAAAAATGATTAGTAATAGTATTGAGGTATTGTAGCTGACATCATAATCGAGACAAAATGGTACAGTGAACTGTAAAATATGTGTTTTATCACCACCATCCACACAGTACATACTCAATCCTGAATACAAACCTTACCATTTACCTAACTAAAACTTAACTATGATAGAATCGCTGCAAGAGAAAGTGTCTATTTCTTACTTTATAATCTAAATCATCTGTCACTATAGTGTTTGTTATGCTGCTAGCTAGGGTTATACTCACAGCGATCAGAGGCCCTGTTTTCTCCTTGTGGGCTCCGTAGGCTCCCAGAATGGCAATCACCATTGTAATGGCACCCACCACATACATCAGGATCAGACTGAAAGTACGGTTTTCCAGCTGTTGGTAGATACATATACATAACATATATAAATATGTGCCATTTTTAATATGTAGCAGTTTCACCGTGTGTGTTATGGGCTTACATTCTCTGCTCCATGGATACTGGTCAGGATCTGGGCCAGTATTGCAAGAAAGATGATGAGGCCTCCAACAATCTGACAACAACACAAATCCAATATATGAGATCATCATAATAATATTCTAGTATCATGGCAGGTGAAAATTGATTTGTGGGTAGGATTTGTTTCTAATAAAATACAAGTACTAAAATGCAAACTGTTGGCGCAATTAGTTGTAACAACTTCCATAATAATAATATTATGTGTATTTTAGTTTTGGTAAAAGAGAAAGTACAACTCCAGTACGAACAAGGTGATGAGCCCGACTGTAATAAACTCTATTTTAAGAAAGGCTCAATATGTTTCTATATTAGAAACGCCTCCAATAAGACAAAACCAAAAGTTGCCCCACTCTGACCTTTGTTATAAAGGCAGAATAAAAGTATGGCCACACCTATATCCATTACATAGCTAACAGTTGAACAAGGGCTGACCAAAGACAGAAAAACAAATTTAACACATCCCAAGCTGTCTGTTGATAAAATACGTAAAAAGATGCGTATACAAAAAGTGGGGTGTTCAGTATAGTTCTCACAAAGTTAACTTTCCATAAACCCCCACCCAGGACAGTGGCCGATCTCACTGCGCACTTTCTATTGCTAAAGAGAGACGCGAATAAAAAGAGATTTTGACTTACCGCGAAGATTATGTTGAAAATGGTGAATGTACGTTTGAGGCAAGTGTTGATATCACCCATTTTTGCGATGTAACCTTAAAAACACCAATATATGAGCCTTAAGGAGAGGTTTGTAGCCGAATGAGTCCTCGAGAAAGTATGTCGCTTTCAAGCAGAAGCTGCTTTATGGGGCAGAGGCGGGGCTTCCAGTAAGTGATAAGACAAACAGGAAAAGGATAAAAAAGAGAAACGAGATTTTTTGTTTGTTTGTCTGTTTGTTTTTGTTTTTTAAGATTAATATATTAGAACCTAACAATGAGTGTTATGGGTTTTAAAACACTGTAGCCTAAACTTAATTTTAAACAAGTTTTAGCAGCCTAAACCCATATATGGTCATACATCCACATGCAAAGTACGTTGGATTACTGGAACAGAAAAATTACATTTCCAAAATTTCGAAATTTCGTTTCGAAATTCATTTCGTTTCAAATCTTACCCTGCCAGAACTATCATGAACACAACATTGAAGCGCGCAAGCATTAGATGAAGCTTCGAGTTTTAGGCACAATGAAAAGACCTACGCTATATGTATTCATATTATTCGTTCACCCACCCACGAATATAAAAAAAAAAAAAAAAAAAAAAAAAAAAAACACCCACGAATGTGACTGTCAAAGGATATAGGTCAGGTTTGAGCCACTTCTTGAGTAGTCTGCAGTTGCGGAGTAGGACCACGTGAGCTATGCTTCAACAACAGGGGGCGCTCAAGTTCAAGATAAATATGTTTTCTTTGATCTACTAAAATTTGCCCTTTGGTGGTTGCTTTTAAGGATATATGGGCCGTTTATGTCACTTGGCACAACCAACAGGCATATCTCTCGGAACATATGGGCACTCTTTGTAATAAGTAGGACCAAGCTCTACGCAGGTGCCACGCCTCCCTTCCTCAGCTCCATCTCCTCCTCCGCGGGCTCGGGGTCGGAGTCGGACCGTTATTGTCGTTGCTGATGTGAGTGCCCTGGGCGGCAGGAGGACCAATTTTCTCCAGGTGGAACAGAGGTACAGATCGTCTGTCTGCTCTTTGGCCCGGCTGCAGGAAACATGCTGCAGGGCGGGGAACAAGCATAGGAGCCGACACTACGGATCTGCAGACCGGAGCACTCAGCATCAGCAGCATCCCGGAGTGTAGCAGGCTAATTTACGAACATGTAGCTGCCTA